TTTTTTGCGATACACAAGAGCTGTGTTATCGAATGACTTGGTATAACAAACAACGTCAAGTGGTATCAAAGAGTTAAAAAAGGAAGTGCCGAAATCAAGCGCACCTCCGCGAACTACTTCCTTATCACTCATGCTATGGCAGCGTTATAAGGACAACTAGTAGCAAAGGGGACACTTCGAGGCAGTATCTATCTATCAATTTATATAAAGCAAAAAATCGTGCTCCCCCCCTTTTCATGCCTGCCTTCCCTATTTCTTCGTATAGAAAAAATTTGTAACCTATCAGCTCTCAGGATTAGAATTGTGATGATTTGTGATGGATCGATATCTGGTTAGGGTATTTCGCAACCACTTCTTGACGCAATAATCTACGTGTACTTTTATACCTTCGCGCTATGAGGGGACAGTCGCCGGTTGCTTATTAATTGTTTCTATTGCTTCTATTATTGTAAAAAACCTTGTTGTTGTCCCACCGTTTGAGTCTTCGTGCCTCTCCCCCTCCCCTCCCCAAACCTGGCCTCACGCTATCGACCCTGGTTAAGTAAGCGTAACACATACTATTATAGCTAACGCGATGGGATCAGTACAGTCAGCGATGAGAGTAAATACTGTTTTGACGATAACGAAAACCCTGGAATTATATGGATACGTTATGGAGAACAATTTGGGACCGCAGCACACTGCCGAAATTTTCAAGAGAGCCGTGCCTCAATACGGTGGCGGGAGGAGATGGCAAAAGGATCTGCTGTTATTACAAGCCATTTAGCATCTTCTAGTGTCCCTGGGAAGATTTGTGTCACGGATACTGCTCTCTAACCATTAACGACATGTGCACTCATGTGAAACAGTTTTAAGTAGATATATGGTATTGCTTTTGCTAGAAAGATTACATAGTACTATAAAGAATAGAAGTCTACGGACAGATTTCTAATACGGATAGTTACGGAGCTACGCAGGAAAGTTGCTACTTTTTGCTGCACGAAACTTAGTTTCGAGTGTTGTCCAAAATCGCCGATTTTACCGCGGCCTTCTGAGAGCCGCGAGGACAATTTTCCGTGTATTTGCCAGCAGATGACCCAGTCCAAATGACTGTAATCCGGCTTCGTTCCGCCTCGCCACTCGCTCATACAAAGATACGTAGAATCCGTGAAATGTGTGCACGCTGTGCTGTCACGTTTCGGTCAGAAGTGTATGCAAACCTTTCTTTTCGTCGATAGAGCTCTTCAGTTGTTTGTTTTGTCGTCTGTTTCTCGTACACTTTTGCAAAAGCTTACAAGTCAGGGGTGAGTGTACTTACTGCAATTGAAGACGCTATTTTCGGGCAACCTGTCCTCGTCGAAGCAATGAAAGGACGAGTTTACCGGAAACAGCATGCTCACTAGTAGTCCTTACCTCTCACACCTCACAATACGCGATGTGACGATACCGCGAACTGAACATATAGAAGCCGATACACCACCCTCATACATATAATCAGCCCTCACATATATATCGATCGATCGATATTGAACCAAATAACACATACAGAAAGATGATATGAAAACTTAGCGCCCCATGACTGAGAACAAGCGCTCCCAGGCTCTTTTATGCATCTATCCACATATACATAATCGAGTACTAGCATTGAGCTGTACTGGATCACTGGGCATGGTTAGTAGTGCTGGAGACATTGTCAGGGCAATGTATATGCAAAAAAGAGGTGTGTCAGCAGTTTCCTACTTATTTCCTAACAAGTTCCTCTCATTTTCTACAACTTCTTCAGCCACTGACGATAATTATCATTATCTGATCGTCGCCAGCCTCTTGTACAGGTAAGACAATTTATTGAAACAACTAATCAAGCGACGTACCTGCGTCTGCAGTCGAGTCAGGCCACGCACCCATAATATCTGTCCAGAACGTTTTTCATGCGTATCCGGATCTTCGTAGTCTGGCATCAAAGGATCGCTCGTTGGAGCTTCTCCAGATCCTATGGTCATGTTCTCTGGTAAACTGCCAGTGGGGATGGATGTTACCAACTGAAATAATTGGTTAATATCTACCAAACTAATCAGCTTCACATCATGTTAGACTAAAAAACATGGACGCGAGAATTTGCAAATTTGATAGTTTGGCGCTTGATGAAGTTTTCAAGTCAACATCAATTTATTCCCAAATCAATAGCCGTCAGAGTAAACAGTGAAGCATTTCAGGAGAACGCAAGGTAGAAAGTTTCACGACTATCAACGATACGAAAGCTGGAAAAAGAAAACAATAGAAAAGACGGACCTGTCCCCAAAGCAGTGTGCCGATACCCAGTGCCAAACACCACAACCACTGTTCGACGTTCAATGATGCTGTACTGAACCAACGACCACCAAATTGTACGATGAGGATTTGAGCCACAAATGTCGTTATCCAAATGATGTAATAGATCGGATTTGAGAATAGACCCTGTAAACAATCAAATCATCTGGATGATTACAGACGATATATAAGCTACAAATAAGTTTCCAGTTGCATGAACTTCTACGTAATGCCAATGGTCTATTCTAGTCTATAAAGACATCATATTTCATCAGTTTCCATAGCAGTTGCCGCCAATGATATATGGGCTCTACCCTCGCAAAGACAAATTCGTCATATACAAACATAAATCACTGCTCTTTCCACAAACAGATGATGTTATACAGAGAAAAGAATTGAGATACTTACAGAAAAGACATTTCTTTCTCCGTGGATTTTCCTCGCGTTGATCTCGTTGAATAGCGTCATCATGACAAATGTGTTGAATACGATGGTGAAATGAATGGAAGGAGGTGAGTGAAGCGGAGCCCAACGGCCGGATGGAATATCGAAAAGTTTCTCGCCTAAAACGAAAAAAGCAACAGTACATCATCGTCCTGATGTCAAGATAATTTCGAGAACTGGAGTACGCTAACATGAACGACGAAGCAAACACAACTGGCGACATTATTTGTTGCAAGTGTCGAAAAACGACATAACAAAATGCAAATCCATCACAAGAAATTTTAGCAAATTCCGAAAAATATAAATGTTCACGTACCATAGAAAATCAGCACGAACAACACTACAAGCTGATATGCGGCATGACCGAGGATATTTTTGCTCATCGTGCGAGAAATTAGAGGACTAGTACGTCCATATGGCTTCCTAAACAAACAGGAAGTATAAAAGAAGATGGATTTACAAACCCAATGTATATATTTAGTAATTTAGAAAATACAAAATCCCTACCTTTTCAGCAGTTCTTCTGTTGGCATTTCAGTAGCTAGAGCAAGCGAAGCAAGTGTGTCCATAATGAGATTTACCCAAAGCATTTGTACAGCCTGAAACTCATGAAAACGGTTATTCTTTCTCAAATGAAAACAAATTGGACGCTTACCTTTAATGGAGTATCCTGAATAGCACAAGCACCGACAAAAGCTACTACGACAGCTACAACATTGACAGTAAGTTGAAATTGGAGGAATTTTGCGATTGAATCGTAAACGTTACGTCCCCACATCACTGCCTGAATGGGCAATATATGACATTGCAAAAATGATGGAGACTGTTACGGTAAGAATACGGTACCTTGACAATGGAAGTGAAGTTGTCATCCGTGAGGATGATATCGGAGGCTTCTTTGGCTACGTCAGTTCCAGCAATACCCTAAAATGACATACTATAGCTGAGTAACTGCAAATTCGATTCCTTGGACGTTTTTAGCAGATAGTTCTCCTCCATAAGACTCCAAGAAATTTCATTTCTGCTCCCTCGCCTCCTTCAATCAAAATAAATTCTTTCCCAAGCTTACCATAGCAAATCCGACATCAGCTTTCTTGAGTGCAGGACCGTCATTTGTTCCGTCTCCGGTTACAGCGACCACCTCGCGTGCATCGCTCACACGAGAATCGATGATACCCTAAAAAAGGAAGTTTCCTCCATTGCCGACGCGAAGCTTCAATCAACTATACACCTTACCTTTACCAAAGTATATTTATCCGAGGGTTGAGCACGAGCCAATACACGTAATTTTGGCCAGATATGATCCAGCTTTTCTTGTGAAACATCACCATTCTCGTCACGGATTCTATAGATTAAAAATAATTAAGCTGAAGAAGAAAAAACTCCCAAAGATGCACATTCGAGCAAAAGTGAGAAATTGCATGAATATTAGCAAAAGCACTACCAAAGCAGAGAAAAAAACGAACCTCGCATTGAATTCCTTGCCCTCAAGTGCAATGAAATCCTCTCCAGGTCTCAAGATACCACAAGCAGTTGCAATCGAACGTGCAGTGTTGATGTTGTCACCAGTAACCATTCTAACAGTAATTCCAGCTTCTTGGCATTTGAGGATAGCGGCTGGCACCTCTGCAAATATGAACTTGATTACCATGACCTACACGGTGGTAAGATACAAACCTGGTCGCACAGGATCCTGGATACCGACGATGGCTATGGCAGTCAGATCGCTCACAATTGCATCTTCATTATCCCAGTCAATTTCACCAGTGTAAGCAATCTGACGAGCATAATGAACTTTGCAATGAGTACACAAAAAATTACAAAAAAAGATGTTATAAGCTGAGACCAACCTGATTCTCGCCAACAGCACCGCCAGCTGGTACGTAGTCCTTGTATGCTAGACAGATGGTACGCAGACCATCGGAAGCCATAGGCTCGATGACGTTGCGAACCAGTGCTTCAGCGTCTTTCGGACCGAATTTGGTCAGTTGTCCGTTCTTTCCAAGGAACCATTTGCACCTAAATCAGTAATGAGCGTGACAGTCTTGGCATTCGAATGGAACTCACTTCTTCGTGATGATTTCTGATGCTCCCTTGCTAAATACACGATATCCGCCATTTGGTTTATTGATTACCGTCGACATGCTCTTACGAACAGAGTTGAAAGTGTACACCTATAAAGGAGGTAAGATAAGTATAGCATTTTCGAAGACATTTTCAGATGAACGTGATCGATTGCTGAAATGACTAGGAAAAATCAGACGCCATTACCTAAAGGCAGCTCTCATAATAAATATAATCTTGAGCAAGAAACTTAACTAAAAGCTGCTTCATACCGTACCCTTTCCGCCAGACTTGGCGTCATTTCAGTACGGTATGGGCGAGAGCTTGAAGCTGAATTTTTCAGGCAAGAACAAACTCTAGGGTCCCAGTGGATCTTGATCCCCCCCCCCCAAA